GCAGCTCAGCGCTTTTAAGCACCCCGTCTGGCACCTTGTTTAGTTTTCTCTGTCAGTACATAGACAAATTTCTTCCATTTTGAAGGCTGCGTATTCCTCCATTGTTTGGTTTTATTAGGTGCTAAAAATCTCAAAATTTTCAGTAATCAGCATTTGAGAAACTGACCTTTTTTTTTTAAAAGTCAAGAGTCTCAGGACCAGCTGACTGGATTGGTGTCCCCCACATTTGTGCTTTGCTGGGGGACCCTGCAGCCACGGTGTGAGTCAGACACCATGCACACGTCCTCATGCTGCTGAGGGCTTCCTGCTGTGCCCAGCAGAGCCGTGGCTGTTTGGTCCACCTGAGATGCACAAGCACTGCCTTGGCCCACTTCTCCCGAGAGGGAGCTGCAACTTGAGCTCAGGGACCAACCTACCTGCCTCGCACTGGAGGAGCTTCCTGCCCTCACAGAGTGGGCTCCCTCCCCGTCCCTGTGGGCGTGAGAACCTCTTAGGCCTGTGCTTCAGTCGTCCAGGGTGGGGGTGGTCATGATTACTGTTACCTACCAGTGCAGTGGGGAGACATGTTGGGTGTGTTAGGTTGTAGAGATCTTTCATGCCTCTGAAAGCACAGTTTTTGACAGTGAATGCCCCTTCCTCATGTGCGAGTCGAGGTTGGTCGTAGTGGCCATCCTGCATCCTGACAGCCACAGGTTGAATGGACTTGTCCTTGTGGTTCTCTGCCTCCCTGGGAGTGGCTTCCTGAGACGATTGGCTACAGCTGCTCACATTGTGAAAAACCCTTTCCTAAGCTTCCCAGTCTCTTGGTCATAAGGTAGATTTGGGGAGCTGAGCAGCCAGGTAGGCAGGGTTCTTTTTCTGTTGCTCTGGAACCCAAATTGCATCATATCCCACCCTGTGAGTTTTCAGGAGTGACCAGGTCCCTAGGTGGGTGGTTTTTGAACCACTGCTGCAGGGTTCGCGCCAGGCAGCACAGAGACAGAAAGCTAGACATCTTGTCTCCACAGGTTTCTCTGGCTAGTGTCGCTTCCACCCATCCACAAGAATGGGGAATATCTTTGCAAACCTCTTCAAAGGCCTTTTCGGCAAAAAAGAAATGCGCATCCTCATGGTGGGTCTGGATGCTGCAGGGAAGACGACGATTCTGTACAAACTGAAACTCGGTGAAATTGTGACTACCATTCCCACCATAGGTGAGAGGCCAAGCCCTGGGTGCCGAGTTGGGGAGGGCCCGGGGTGAGGTGGGCAGCCCCTGCTTGTTCTCCCGTGCTCCACTGGCACCAGGGGCACAGAGGGGCCTCATCCTGCAACCTGCCCTTCCCAGGTTTCAACGTGGAGACTGTAGAGTACAAGAACATCAGTTTCACTGTCTGGGATGTGGGCGGCCAGGACAAGATCCGGCCACTGTGGCGCCACTACTTCCAGAATACACAAGGTGAGTGTGGATACCAATGTGTGCTGCTTGTCCTGGAGCCAGCCCTTGTCCTGTGTGGTCTCATCTGTTCTCATGAGACAGAGGCCGGCCTCCTGGGGGGCCCATAGGCCTCCATACCCTCTAGGGTTGTAGTGGACAGTTAGAGTCCCAGGAGTTGGATGAGATTGGGCAGATGTGCTTTCAGCATTTGCAGCAAAGACACTGTGTTACAGGTTTGATCTTCGTGGTGGACAGCAATGACCGGGAGCGTGTGAATGAGGCCCGCGAGGAGCTCATGAGGATGCTGGCCGAGGACGAGCTCCGGGACGCAGTCCTTCTCGTGTTTGCCAACAAGCAGGTAGGCTCCTGGCCCAGCCCTTGGAGGGGAGCGGCTGGGTCCAGAGAGGGACGAGGGCAGGTTTGTGGCAGATGGGGCTCGTGCTTTCTGTCCTGGGGGCAGCCTGCTTGCGGCCTTTCCCGTTGACCCTTCGTCCTTCCTAGGACCTTCCCAATGCCATGAACGCAGCCGAAATCACAGACAAGCTGGGGCTGCACTCTCTGCGCCACAGGAACTGGTACATTCAGGCCACCTGTGCCACCAGTGGGGACGGGCTCTATGAAGGACTGGACTGGCTGTCCAATCAGCTCCGGAACCAGAAGTGAACGCGAACACTCCCCTCCCCCTCTTCCTTCTCTCCGCCCTCTGCTTTACTATCATGTGGCAAATGTGCGACTCTGTGGTATTGAGTGCCAGAAGCTGTCTCCATGGTTTTGGTCACAGTGTGCATCGCACCATGCTGTAAATGTGGCAGACGCAGCCTGCAGCCCAGGTTTTTTATTTAATGTAAATAGTTTTTGTTTCCAATGAGGCAGCTTCTGGTACTCCTATGCAATATTACTCAGCTTTTTTTATTGTAAAAAGAAAAATCAACTTACTGTTCAGTACTGAGAAGGGATGTAGGCACATGGGCACCTGGCCCCCAGGTGCTGCTGTGTTAGATGAGCTGGATGCTCCTCCTGGCTTATATCTGTGTTGAGATCCATTTTGGTGGTTGGTTTTTAACCCACACTCAGTGCATTTTTTACAATAGTTAAAAATACAAGATAAGGAGAACACTTGAACACACAGAAGGGAGACTATGCCTAGTGTAGGTTTTGCAGTAATGGTCTGGATACTAGTCCATCGGCTCGACTGTTCCCCTTTGGGAATGTGAGGCAATGACAAAACCAACGGAATCCATCCTGCATGGTCACAGTAGAGGCCCCGTGACTTGCTCGTCTTTGGGTCACCCTGCGTTCCATAACCTTGTGCTTGTATCTGTGCTGCTCACACGGTCACTAAGGGGATGGACTGGGAGGCCACGGGCCCAGCCTTCCCCTGGGTCAGCGTGTGGCCGCAGCTGAGCCCCTGCCATTCCCAGCGCTCACTCACACGCTCAGACACATTGGCGGACTGTCTGGCGTCTCACCAGCAGGAGTGTGTGCGCGCTGGGAGAGTCGATCCATTCTAGTGTCGCCACCCTCGGGATCACCCCCATCTCCGTGTGTGAAGTAGCTTTCTCTCCCTCAGCCTGCAAGGGTCCGATTTGCCATCGAAAACGACGACCTCTACTTTTTTCTTTTGTATTTTGATAAACACTGAAGAAGCTGGAGCTGTTAAATTTATCTTGGGGAAAACCTCAAAACTGGTTTATTTGGTGTTGTGGAACCTCTTACTGCTTTCAATACACGATTAGTAATCAACTGTTTTGTATACTTGTTTTCAGTTTTCATTTCGACAAACAAGCACTGTAATTATGGCTATTAGAATAAAATCTCTTCAGTATTTCACTGGCTCTCCAGTGTTTCATTGTCACTGCCGACGGACAGACTGCCTCCTAGAGATGAGAGAGTGGAGAGGGCCAACCCCAGGCACTGCCAGCTTCGCAACGTCAGCCTCCCCTACTGCTGTTCTCGCTGCCCTCCCCAGACCCAGGGATTCCACTGCCTGAGTTGGGTCGGTGTGTGTGTGTGTCAAAACCTTCTGGAAACATTTCATTCCTCTCTCTAGAGGTCAGACAGGGCAGCAGTGGCCACACGGGAGGGGAGGCAAGGGTGAGGGCCAAGGGTAGGGGCCATGAGTGCCTGGGGGCCACAGCTCCCCTCACTCGACCCACTGCTGGTCCAGAGTGCTTTGTGCCAGCTAGGGAAAGGGTTTCCCTGAGTGAGCATAGCCCTTGCCTCGTCAACGCACCATGGGTGAGGGTGGGGGCAGCTGACCTGGGGGGTGGGTGGCAACCAGCAGGTCCAAGGTCTGCCCTCCCTGTGGGCCATGTACCTGGGCAGGGGCTGCCCTGTGTGGCAACCTGGAGCTGTGCTTGGCCTCTTGCCTTGGCCAGTTGGCCTGACCTTCATCCCTGAAACAGCACCCAAGATAATGTGCTCTCCACTGAGGTGGGCCATGTGCAGAGGGCAGAGGCCACTGAGGTACACCCCAGGACCACGAAATGTTCTCCACTTCAAAATCAGAAGGGGGGGCTGGGCCGTGGCTCACTCGGGAGAGTGCGGTGCTGATAACACCAAGGCCACAGGTTTGGATCCCGTATAGGGATGGCCGGTTAGCTCACTGGGTGAGCGTGGTGCTGACAACACCAAGTCAAGGGTTAAGGTCCCCTTACTGAACGTTTAAAAAAAAAATCAGAAGCGGAAGAGTAATACATACTAATCAAGCCTGGGCTCTGTGTGTCTTGGCCAAGGAGGGTTTTTTTTTTCTCGAGTAATACATACTAATCAAGCCTGGGCTCTGTGTGTCTTGGCCAAGGAGGGTTTTTTTTTTTCTCCCTTTTTGTCTTTTTTCGTGACCGGCAACAGATCGCAACCCTCAGTGTTGCGCCCGTACCGGATCGAGACCGGCAACGGGATCGCAACCCTCGGTGTTGCGCCCGCACCTCGCTCAGCCAGTGAGCGGCCGGTCTGTATGTGGGATCCGAACCCTCGGCGGGAGCGCCACCACGCTCCCAAGCGGCACGCTGTAGCAATGCGCCACCGGCCGGCCCCAAGGAGGGTTTCTAAGTTGCCATGGAGCCCAGTGGCTATGCATATCGTGAGCAGCCCTGGCCTGCATCCTGCACGCCCCTTTGTGGGGACAGGCAGAGGTGGGACACCCAGCCCACCACCCAGGAGGAGATGAGCTGGACTCACACGGGCAAGCAAGAAGATGGCGACCCCCTTGGTGGCCTCTGGGGGGCACAAGGGTGGCCAAGACTCCAGGTACCAACCCCAACCCCACCCAGCTGAAGCTGCTCCTCCATGGACTTAACCTCACCTGCCCCCAAGGTAAGGTAGTCAGTCCCAGGGGCCAGGCTCTTGTGCCTCAGCCCCCAAACCTGCACTGACTACTCCCTGCTGGCTCTTGACCCTCCCTGGGTGTCAACCCCAGGTCAGCTGGGCTCTGGAACACTGAGGTCCCACCCAGACCACCCATGGGGAGGACTTGATGTGGGTCCCCTGAGGGAACATCACAGGAAAAACAGGGCCACTCTGTCCCCCTCTCAGTGGCATCTCATTAACTCCTGACACTGACCTTCCACTTAGTATGATCATGTACTTTCCTTTTAAAATAAATTTATTTAAGTACAAAAAGTGAATCCATATAAAGGAAAAATAGAGGTAACCATATTTGGTCCAAGCTAAACCTCTTGGCAGGGGCAGGAAGGAGGGAAGCCCAGGGCTGCTGTAGAAGGACAGGACGGGACAGGACAGGGAGGAGTCTGGTCTCTGCTGGAAATTTCCAAGCAGGCTTACCTTCACCTGGGGAGCTCTAGGGGTCATTTAGCAGAGCCCTCAGAGAACCCACTGGGCTCTGCAGGCAGCCAGGCCTTGCTCTGCAGACCCCAGTCACAGTGACCTGGAGGGGTTTCCCCAAAGGAGGCCCCTCCTTAGCCGGCCAGTGGCTCCCAAGGCCCAGGAGGCATCAGTAAGCACATGCTCAGGAGCACTCCACAGATCAGCTGCCTGCCTCACCCCACCTCACATGCCCACAGGCAGCTCTGGCCCATGAGGAGTGCCTCCCTGGGGGAGTCAGGGTGGGAATGTCCACTCCGGAGCCCAGTCACCACAGGCCTCCACATGCTCTGGGCTCTGGCGTCTGTGGGTCCAGCAGCGTGCTCTCAGGCATCAGAGTCCCTACCGTGCCGACGATGGGACAGGCTCCTCCCACTATCCCTGCTGTGTCCCCTCTTCCTCCTTTTGCAGCAGGGGGAGGAGGAGTCAGAGTCATGCCTGCGGGGCCTGGGGAGACAGGGACAGAGTGCTCAGAGGCAGGTCCCTGTCTTGGGCGGCAGGAGCCTCCTCCCTCAGAGCTGGGCCTGGGCCCACCGTGCAGGAGCTGGGGATGAGGAGGAGGTGCTGGCCTCCCTCCTGTGCTCTTTGTCTTTCTTCTTTTTCTCTTTCTTGTGTTTCTTTTTCTTCTTTTTCTTCTTTTCTTTCTTGCTTTTCCTGTGGCTCTCAGAGCTGCGGGGGAGGTGGAATACAAAAGGGCCTCAGCCCCCAGCCCTCAGGGGACAGGGCAGCTGAAGCACTGTCCGGTCCCATTTGGTGAGGGGATCTGCTGTGGTGGCCGCCGCCCACTTGTGCCTCTTTAAGTTAGGTGAAATTAAACCAGATGTCAGTTTCTTAGTCTCCCAGGACACCTGTCGTGCTGGAGAGCCCTGACAGACTCACCAAGGGGCAAGTTAGAAGACCTTACCATGGCTCCGCCTTGTCCTCCGCGCGGAGCTTCCTCTTGGCCGAGGCTGGGGAGGACCTGGGCCCTCTGCTCTCCACGCGGTGGTGCTGCAAGAGAAGCCGCACTCTGGGGAGGGGGCTGCAGGATGGCCCCACACCGGAAACGTTCCAGGGAGTGCACTCGGGTTTCCTGACCTCCATTCCCCACCCCACTCCCATGGGACCCTGCAGCGTTCCTGGGGGGGGGGGTTACCGTGAACACCGACAGCCCCAATTTGGCGGCCTCCTTGTCCTCCCGAGACAGTGCCACGCGGCCCGCGGAGCCACTGCGAGGACATGGCGGTAAGAATGCCCCCTGCCCGGGGTGTTGGGAGGGGAGGTGCACCGCGGACCCCCGAGGACCACCGCCCAGTCCCTGCCCCACGCAAGTAACTGAGGCCCAGCCTGGTGTCTCAACCCCTCTCCCCCACCCTCCGCCCCAGGACCCTGCTGCACCTGGTGCTGCCCAGCCCCAGCAGCCGGTCCACGCCCTTTTCGTAGTCGCCTCCTTCTCGCTTGCAGACCTCCACGAAGTCCTGAGGGGGGTGCGTGGCGGTAAGACGGGGAGGTGCTTGGGACCAGCAAGGGCGGCCTCCCAACCCTTCCTGGGACCCTGGGCGCTGCCCACCCTGGGGAGTTACCTCCTTGCTCAGGCCCGTTGGCTGTTTCTTCACGTTCCTGTAGCCGCTGAGAGAGGCCGGGGTCGGTGTCAGCGCGCTGCGGACCCTCCTCGTCCTTCCCTAGCCGCCCAACTCCGGACGGCCCCCGCCCCCCGGAGACCCCCTTCCCGTCCGGCAGCCCCGGCCCCGCGGGGCACTCACAGCGCGGCCAGCA